CATCCGAACTCTAGAAAGTCTTCTGTTATTTATACCGAAAGAGACCCCTTTCACATTATTGATGATCGAAAATGTTCGGGTCTTGGTGCCGAAGTTTCATCTCTTTATTCAATCCTAAATCAAGCAACGTCTGTGATTATCCCAAGTTTTTTTATGAGGTCGTTACTCGGTCTTTAGTTTTCCAAGGAGTGTTATGTGAAATTGTATGTTTTGTTGTTTTTCTTTTTTTGACATGGAATTGTCAGCTACGCTCGACTTATGAATTTTGAACGTACTCTTGGGATCTTCTGCTTCTTTTTTAAAGACATTTTACAAAAATGGGAAATGCCTATATGTGTCGTAAGCATTTGAACGTTTTAAGCTATGGGTGATATCCGCTTTTTCCTGTTATTGCAATCTTAGTTTTATTTTTAATTCAAATTTTGGTGCTGATACCAAATATTTCGTTAAAAATATTCTTCATGTTCTTAACTTTTTGAACCAGGGGATTTTGAATTTAAGATTTGGTTTTGACGCTTGTCTATTTTAGAAGGACAAATGCTGCCATTGAGATATTCTTCACGTTTTGTGTTGAGTAAAACTACTCCACATCGAGTATTTATCGTTTGAAAAATTAAATAAGCGAAACACAATTATAATTTGGTTGCTTTCCGACTTTCGTGCATTGCAGTTTCAATTAAAAGGGTCCTTGGTGGCCGAGTGTTCTAACCAACAATAAAAACTCTCCGCCACGAAATAGTTCTATAGTGCTGAAAGTGTCGTTAAACACCAATCAATCAATCAACCAATTGAAAACAAAATACTTATATTATTCTATTTCTTTATTTTCTGTAAAAAGACTGAAGTTAGCCTGCATTATTGTCTGCAAGCGTTAATTTTAATGGTAATGTCAGGGAAAACCACGTTGTAAGCAAAATTGTTTTTTTTATTTATTCATATAGACTTTTTTCATATTGTTGTATAATAAATGTAGTAAGTAAGCAAATTAAAGAAGGAGGGACTTTCACCAAAGAAATTCAAAATACAGACTAAAATCATAGTTAAGTTTTCAATAGTAAAACTATTTCAAAATGTTTGTTGATACGGCACTTTTTGGAATTGCATTATGCATGATATAATGATTATACGTAATTTAAAATAAAATGTACATTTAAAACAAATAATTTGTTTAATTTATTCAATCGTAGAAAGATAGTTTTTTACACTTTAAAATCTTTTTTTACAATGCATTTATTGATGTCAACTTAACAGCTACGTTTAATTCAGCAAAAATGATTCAAAAAGAATATGTAAAAATAAACAAATCACTGCATCACTTTCTTCTTGCTACAACAATTTAAAGGCGTAAAATTCAACAACAGACGGCATATGAAAAAATATAATATTGAAAATTTTCACCTGATTTCGTTTTGACCTAAAATATAGGTAAAGGTTATTGGAAATTTTTAAATCTATTTTAAGATCTATTTTGACATTATTATACCCTGTAATCAAAATCGTAACGATATTCATAATTCATAAAATAATTAAAATAAAGCGTCTGACCTTTCGGCGCCTTTAAAAACAATTAAAACAAACCCACGGTACTAAAAATATGGATAACTTGGAATTTGCACTTTGGGATAGTCTTCAATGTATCCTTTACTTGATACATGTAGTAAACCTTCACGGAAGTCTCTTGTAAAAAGAAACTATACCTCTATTTAGAAAATTTGAAAATTTCATACGTTTTACTAATTACAGAACTTTATTTGTTTCAGGTTTCCTTGTATTGAAGAGTGTATATCTTCATTTTGGTCATACACTCATAATGTAAATTTATAAATGAAAACGAGTTAAATAAAATGAAAAGATAGGGAATAGAAATAATATACAGCATGTCCCCTTTTTATTTACATCTTTTTGTGTCTAATGCAGGACAAGAAACTAAATAAAAGAGAAAAATGAGATGCTATGTATTCATGTATGTGACAACAACCCAACGACACAAATAAATCAAAAGACACGTTCATTTAATGGTCAACCCACGATATTCAACAAAGAGAGGTGGATATACAATATGATAGTATAAGAATACAAATATATAGTTTGATTGTCAATGAAATTCATTGCCCGGCTTTAGCCATACATTTTGTCTATTTTGGTTTATAAGCTCTTAAACTTATTTGTTTGGCTTCGAGTATGACTGAAGAGACATTTATTGTCAAAATGCGCATCTGGTGTAGTAAAATTGTTACCGTTAATGTTATTTTTGTTATATATTATATACATATTATATATATTATATATCAATTTACTTAATGTTAGGTAAGTTATCATTAAACATGCATGCATATGGACGTTTTGACAAATTACTATAATTTTTACAGACCAAAATTTAAAACAAATGGCTTTACTGCAATAGACTTAATATCGTTTTTTCAAAGTACTGAAACAATGCACAACTGATTCACAATTTTCCGAATAAAATTATAAATTGACAAGTTTTAATTGGTCTAAAAAGATAGCTAAAAAGATAGAGGTATATGTTTAAAAATGAGGCGGAGGAAGCCGTGTCTGTTGTTTCTTTAATTTCTAGTTCTGGGGGATATATTAATGGAACCCAATCAGAAAAGTTCGGATTGTTAATGGAAAGTACATCATCAATATATCTGAAAGTGAAATTAAATAACCTGGCTTCTTTGATTATCTTGTTTTTTACAAGTGTCTGAAGGAACCAAGTGGTGTTATAATAGATGTTGAGGAAAGAACTATTCCACAATTGAAATTTTATTTATTGATACATGAAGGATGAAAGATGCCATCGTGGTAAATAATAAATATGGGAATCTCCATGTCTAGCTAAGGAAATACCATAATCATTCGAAAACAATACCAAAAATATATCCCACAAAAGGGTAGGTGCACCACGATATTTTATAATATATTTTTCATAAAGGTGTTTATATAACATAATATCATACTGGTTTATCCTGCAATTTGATTGGTTACCTAAACAGTGGAAATGAGCCCAAATCCCCATGTGAAGAAAAACAAAGATAACAATGATAATGAGTGTTGAAATCTGATACACTCCAGCATAATATAATTGTTGTTCGAACTTCATAGGAGATTGGGCTCATATTCCCTGTCAGTGCCTTATATCCCCTTCGTCTTACGGCTCTGGAGATATAAAACACTAACAGGGAATATGAGCCCATATCCCCGGAGAAGATCCCGATTACCATTTGATATCTTTATCAAATACTAGTCATAGACAGTTAACAGGAATTTGCACAATAGCGGGTTTGATAGAAAGTCCCTACAGTGAGTGATCTATAGATGTTAACTTACATGTCATTTGGTCTTTGTCGAGAGTTCTCTCATTGGCAATTATACCACATCTTCATATTTTTATAAGAAGTTGGAACTACAGAGTGTTCTTTAAAGGACCTTGATATTGATATTTGAAAAGGTTTATTAAATTGATCGTATCTTGCTTAACGTCCTGTGGCAAATATGTCACAACCAGATCAATTAAAAAATAAATACAATAGGTAGGTTCTGCAAAGTAAGTCTACCAGGCTGAAGGGCGAGACAATTGGATTTTCATTGGAAAATCAGGGTTAATGGGAAAGGCGCAGAATTTTTGCCTTGCAACAATTAAGCTCCGGAAAGTCATTGCGTTAAATTCATCATACACGAGGCATGTTATTTAACGTCCCCATACCGACCCAAGGTTACCAAACAAATAGCCAAAATAATATCGTACAAGGAGTGAATAATGACAAATGCAATACCCGTTTTTTAATATACTATATACAATGCGTTTAACATTTGATTTAGGACCATTTTCGTCAAGTAAGTTCCGTTAAAATGGTTTTAATATATACATTTTCAAGGACTTAAACAAATGGCACAAAAGAGGACTGGTGCAAATTATTTGTAGCGCCAATGATTCCTTTTTTGTCAGAAAAGGAGAATGCTGAAAAAAACGTGGTGAACGTCCTATAGATTATATGTTCACATTTAGGTATTCTATGATGTAATTTCTCTTAGATATATAGACAATAACTGTTTACGGTCTTTAATTATCAGCTGTCTTTGTATGAGGCTAAGAAACAGGTGTAATTCGAGCTTCAGATTTTGAAAGAAATCGACAAGACTTAAACGCGGACCGCAATGAGGACACCAAATTGAACTGTGACGTAAACAGTAATTTGACATAACCGTTCGCTCGCAACAGAAGCAGGATTCCAGGAGACTATATAAGTCTAGTATACGTATATCGCTTCGTGTTATCTGTACACCTGTATTAGTATAGTAGAAAGGTCGATTGCAGGATAAAATTAAATATATTCGAATAACGTTTTCAGTATAAATCAAGTGGTGCTATTAAAATTATATTAAAAAAACTCAGAAATCGGTGGCTCTTGGGCTGATATCATAACCTACGGCTGATAATACATCTGTTATGGCAAATATCATGTAATAATCTGCTAATATTGTCTAAAACTGGAACAACGAGATTTATATGAAAGAATTGTACAAATATAAGAAACGAAGGTATGATATATATTTTTTATTTGAAGTATCTTATGCACATTTTATTTTCCCGTCTTTTTAAAATATAGTTACACATATTTCAATGATTTAAATTACATTAATTCAAATGTAGAATCAAGTTATACGTGACGTAATGAAAATTGTCTTTTCACAAGGAAGTAAATTTTATCTGATAAAATTTTTCTAGATTTTATATTTAAATATTTTTGAAATACATTATATGTTTTGTGTGAACCTTTGCTAACATCAGTTGATATTTTTTTCTTCTAATATATAATGTTGAGCATTTATTGAAAGTAGTTGATATTTGAAAACATTTAGATATGGACAAGAAAAATTTAAAAGTTCTCTGGACTTTTTCTTGTATGAGCCCATGCATGAAACAGGTAAGCTTTTATACATACAACATCTATTCACCTTGTTAACACGTGTTTTTTTTTAAACAGTGCTGCTGTAGAATTATAAGGCAAAGTAGGAATTGAAGACGAGCTGCGCATGATCTTTTGTAGGGAAGTACCCAGAGAGAAACCAGGTTTGGGATCAAAACGGTACGAGATTACCTTCTCGTATTAAGTTTTATGAAAAATAATTAGCAAGCATTGTACTTTAAATCCATCGTTATCTAATATCAACGTAAATCTTTATTATCATATGTCGCAGCTATCATAAACACAAGAGGATTATAAAGCATAGTGATATTACATAAGGTAAGTTATGTTAAGATAGTAGGAACTTTTCATCCACCTCCGCCGGTTAAATCTACAGTTAGTCAGTCTGTAAAATATATCAACCCACTTGCCTAAGAAAAATTTCTCTAAATGAAATAAATAAGATGTATAACTCAAATTAGTCTAATACATTTTTGCACCTATCAATTATTTAAAGAGCAACAAGTAAGTTTTTATAGTTTAGTTTTTCTATATCACCGATTTGTCATCTATATTCGCGGGTTAACTCTAGTGAATCAGTTTGTTAAAAATAAAATTTTAGCTATTGTTTTTCTATACCACTGAGTTTTTTTGTACTCATCCTCTTATTTGTTTTATCAACTATTTTATATTCATAAATTGCAAAAGCCACTTCTGAGTGATATTTAATTCAACGAACCGGTAATATTTTTTGAAATGATTATATGAAATAACCAAAATGCATACCTTCAGATTCAAACGCTAATCATCGGATTTACAGATTTTAATTTTGTTGCACTGCAAATATGGGTTTTAAGGTGCAATGTTATTTCTACAAGGTAAATACGCAACATAAAAAGGGAATGATGCGCGAATACAAAACTTTCAGAACAGCTTGTCGTAAAAAAGCTGATAGCCAGGGAATTGAGAGTAATACCCGACGCGACCCTGGGTCACCCCGTGTTAAGGATACTTAGATAAGTTCAACTTGTATTTTAGAATCATGTTCTCTATCAATCGACATTTATCTCTGGAGTTTTTTCATGTATGAGCTGATGCATGAAACAGGTAAGATATTAAACATAGATAATACATCCAGATTCTTAAATACACGAGTTTTGTTTTAAAAGTGCCGATTTAGCATTATAAAGCAAGGAAGGAATTCCAGACAAACTTGCGCGCTCGATCTTTTATAGGGAAGTAACCGGAGAGAAAACCAGGTTTGGGATCAAAACTGCACGAATATACCTTCTCTTTTTAATATTCATACAAAACAAGTAGCAACATTTTACTTTAGATCCTCCGTTATCCTATATTCATGTTTATATCGTAAACATTTGTTGACATATATGTCACCTATCATAAACACAATAGGATTATAAGGCATAGACATATTACAAAAGGTAAGTGATGTAAGAATGGTAGGAACTTTTCTTCCACCTCTGCCGGTTTACACTATAGTTAGTCAGTCTGTAAAATATATCATCCCACCTTCCAGAGAAACAGTGCTATTAATTAAGTAAATAAGAAGTACAATTCAAATGAATGAGTTTAAATGAATTTGTACATGTCAATTAAGAGAAAACAGTAAGTTTTTATAGTTTAGTTTTTTCTTTATCACTGATCTTTCATCCATCTTAGTGGGTTAACTCTTGTTTAGCTGTCAATAAATCAATGTTTTAGCTACTGGTTTTCTATATCACTGAGTTTTTTGTACCCTTTCCTCCTCTAGTTTGTTTTATTGATTTGTTTATATTCTCAAACTGCAAAAGCTATTTTGTCTGATTTTAAAATTAAATTAACTGGTAATATTTTATGAGCAGACTATAGAAAATAATCAAATGCGTACCTTTTAATTGAACTCTAGTCACTGGATTTGCAGATTTAAACTATATTGCACTGTAAATATGGTATTTAAGTCGAAGTGAGAGAATTATTCGACGGGACCCTGGGTGACCCTATGTGAAGGATGCTTAAATCAGTTAAACTTGTTTTAAGAATTATGTTCTCGAAATTAACATCTATCTCTACAGATCATCACTTCTTCACGCCACTTCTGATCTTTGCCACAGCGTTCAGAAATTGTTATTATGTATTCATTTACGCAGCGATTCTTCTTTTGTTCTACAAAAATACTTCTGTGAGGTTTTGTTTATAAAGGATGACTTAGAGACCTTTGTAGTTAGATAAAAAAAGGATTTAAAAAATTTTGTCGTGTTGTTTTAGTCTTTATGAATGGATAACATACTTATGTTTCTGCTTGATTACATTTTATTCGGATCTTAGTTATTGCCGAGATTTTTTAGGAAATACAGTTTCTTACCTCGTTTATTGCATGTATATATTGTACTTTTGTTTGTTCCAAGGTTTTAGAGTTTTTTTCATTTAATTATTGGAGGAATTTCCTTTTAAATCTATAATTATCCATGTAATGAATTAGGAAGGCATAATCGATATCGAATTTGGAGATTGCTTTTAAAGATAAAAGATGTCTAGACTGACATTTTTGTTATTTTTGACTGTGAGAAAGTTATTAACTAAACGTAGTCTATTAATACTAATATCGAAATGCAAAATTATGATATTTTGTACATGTATACTAGTTCGTTTAAAAAAAATCAAAAACACTTAGTCCAAATTTACAAACCTACTGAGGACCGTCTTTCTTTTGTATATTTAGTCCTTCTTCAATCAACATGTTTCTATATTTGTTCATGTTTTGCTTTCAAATTATTTCTCTTGATTAGAATGATGACGTTACTGTTTAAAGAGTGCCTTAGGCGAAGTCGATGCTCTGAATTGTATGAAGACTTCGATATAGACCGAGATATTTTATTAGTGAAAATTTGTTTGCCCCAAAAATGCGTCCTTTTGCGCCACAACTTATTTGCACCAATGCTACGTTTGCACCACTTTGTTTCAAAATACTTAGTATCTTTTGCGCCAATATTAAAGTATAGGATTGCGCCAATTAATCGTAATTAAAAACAATGATTTCCCTGTCCATAAAAAATATATATATATATGTATGTATATATATAATTGATAATCCTATTTCTACGGAACATGATAGAATTATTTGCTCACTTTTAAACCAGTCAATTGAAATGAGGACAAAAGTATTTTTCGTGTATCTAAATATATTCATTAAACCTATTTACAGTCGTAGACTATCGCAATCATTTAATAAAATTAACCTGTTTGTGATCAAAAGTATTCTAACCGTGCTGTGTGATACAGTTGTAATCGATGTCTACTATTAAACTGTTCACAATAAAAAAAAATCATCATGTTCATTTTGTTAGCATTTAAATACAATCTACCTTTAAAATCTTACAAATTTTATAAAGTATTTAAATAAATCTGTTATTTGATAAGTCGGATGTGTTGACCTTATTGTTTACCTGCTCGTTGATTTATCGGTTTAGAGAGCTTACTAGTAGTTGATGTCTTAATATTTCATGCAAAAATGATAACCCAAATAACAAAACAAAAACAACAAAAAAATAAAAGTGAATATTTACAGGTAGAAAATGAAAAATAGATATACAAAGAACATCTGTACGTACTTGAATATGTATATAGTTTATCTATTGAAAATCTAACAACAAATAAATTTCCGGTTGGTATCAAATTAAAAAGTGATACATTGGGTGTACGTAATTATAAGATACAACCAGTGGTGTAAATTGCTATTGTTTCGAGCGGATAACGGGAAATGCTTAATCTTTCCAAAAATAAAGCGCTGTTCTGACCATTAATGAAAAGGGAGATACCTTGTTTGTTTCTTATTTTGAAATTTGATAAAGATACAATATTTCAATGATTTACTAGGAAACACACAATAAAAGAAACAGAACTATTACTACACTTTCAAAACGATAGTTTCTTCCCCCTTATTATATGCTGCTTTTTGTGTTCATCGATGAGTCAAACAATTTTTCATCAAAAGTTAATCAGAAAGCTAAAAATTAAGCATTTTCAAACCTGCAAAAATATTGAAGGGGAGGATGGGGTAGGATTTACATGTAACGGGTACAGCAGATTATTAGATAAGAAGAAAAATAAAATAGCAGTTTCAATTGTCTTTCAAATATAAACCATATCGTAAGGGTTCGTCTATCCCGGGTTAAGGATTGGTCCTCAATGCTCTTCAGCTTTGTACTTGTTTTGGCTTTCGACTTTTTTTGATCTGAGCGTCACTGGTTAGTCTTATTTGTATTGTAGTCCTGTCATGTAATGTTGTCATTTTAATGTAATATTATACATTGCCATAAAAGCGGGAGGTTTGGCTAGCCTCAAAACCAGGTTCAATCCACCATTTTTTTTCTTGAAATGTCCTGTTCCAAGTCAGGAAAATGGCCATTGTTATATTATAGTTCGTTTCTGTGTGTGTTACATTTTAATGTTGTTTTTCTGTTGTGTGGTAGTTCTCCTCTTATATTTTATGTGTTTCCCTCAGTTTTAGTTTGTAACCTTGATTTGTTTTTTTCTCAATAGATTTATGAATTTCGAACAGCGGTATACTACTGTTGTCTTTATTTCAGGTATAAAACCACTAATTCATAGCCCCATTGCTTTCTATGTTAAATTCTGCAATTTCAAGCATTAATGGCTAATTTGACTTAAGTTAAAAAAAAAAGTGGCAGTTATTTCAAGTCAAAACTATACCTTATCCAGACTTGTACTGAAAAATTCAACATACCTTTAATTGCATATTAGAGCGTACTGGTTTCAGGAAGTTTGATAGTACAAAAACAGGTTCTTCTGATCTGAACAACAGGGCAAATGTGCCCTCCTATTGAAATTTTATATACTTCTTTATTATTCAAAAGAAACTTTCAAAAAGGGTTCTACAGTGATTCAAAGTCCTCAAACTTTCATTTGATACCAAAACTACCCAAATATTTCACCTATTTACAAAGATATAGCTTTGCGTAGGAACTATTTTGTTTAAAATATGTACTACTTTCTTGTATGTTCTTTCCGACCGGGCCTGAATTAGTGGTTCTATACCTTAACCTATATTTCAACATTGATTTAGTGGATAAATCCGAGATCACCTTACTTAATTTATGTATTCGGGGGATTCTTGTGTTCTAAATTTTTGAATGGTTAATTTTTGTATTGTCTCGTGCTTCGTCTATAACATGTATTTTCGTGTTTTTTTCTAGATATTTGTAAATGTTGAAACCTTTATATTTCACATATCAATGCAAATGAATATCATTGTTAATAAAAACATTTGATGTTTTCTCTGTATATTTATATTGTTGATTTGTACTATACTTTGCAGTTGTTCTTTTTTTGTAGAGGAAGCTTTTAGATATGGATCAGTGGTCATATCAACTCCCGGTAACATACCAGACAAACACTCACAATTGGCATGGTTTAGAAAATTTGTCTAGTCATCAGGAAGATCAATCAATGAATGATATAGAAGACATTTTAGATTACATTTCAGCTTCTCCAGAGATGGAAATTCCTTCAGAATCCGACAGAGGTATGTTTTCAATTTTAAAATAAATAAAGCAAAGATAATCCTTTTCACCGCGAAAGGAGAAAAAGCATTTATCCCTTCAATCAGTTCAATAATTTTAACAGTTTATTTGGAAAGATATCATTTGAATAAAAAGAGGGGAAATTGACCCTCTGCAGCTCTCTGCATAGGTAAACACGTACTTTAATTTGATGAGATTACAAGTTGTCAGTCAATATATATTTTCAAACTTTACCTCATCTAGACTAAATTATCCAAGCAATGAGTCGTTCGTTTTTGCTTTCTTTGTTGGTATTTCTAATTTTCTGAAGAGCCGTGTGTTGGTGGCTGGTGAAGTACATCTAACTGTTCAATCTTTTTTGGTGTAATACCTGTTATACTTCTTACATATTTTCAAATGGCTATGTTTCTATAAGATCCTCTTAGATAAAAGTAATATTGAATTCTGTTATGTTATTTGCGTAAATGATAATTTACCACTTGCCTTATTACTATTATTTATTTTTCATGAGTAGAATATTTTCATAGAATATATAACCATTAAGGTCAATTAACTGGGCTTTGTCACATATTTTGGTGAAACTTTGCATATAGCTTTGGCTAGTTGAACTTTACCTCAAAATCGAAAAAAGATATCGTCGGCCTTAAAGTAACGCTAAATCAAATGAAAATGAACAGAGTAATTCCCCATTTGTACATACCAACTTCTGTACTGTTTTTTAGACCCTGCAATTCCAACAACTGTCCATGATATATATGACATCAAAACTCAAGAACCAGATAATCATCGGAATACATCGAATAGCAGGAACATTTCAAGACATTGTCGACAAAGTGAGAAATTAAAAAAGTAGAGTAGATGTAGTTCTGTTTTCTTAGCATTACTGTATCAAAGTTATTGAAAATATTTTGGCATTCAGCAAATTATAGTTTTGTGTTATGCATTTTGTACTATTTTGAAATGGCAAATACTTTTCTTTAAGAATAAATTAGTTGAGGAATTTTTCACGATATTAACGGGATAATAATGCATATAAAATGTGGTATGATTGCCAAGGAGACAACTTTCCACTAGAGACCAAATAACGTTGATGTATGCAACAAATATAGATCGCCATACGCTCCTTAAAAAGTGCAAAACCAATACCGCATAGAAAGCTTTAAAGACCTCGACATAACAAAATATAAAACAATTCAAATCAAAAATCTAACAGCCGAATTTGTGTTCAAAATAACAAAAGAAAAAAACCCAAATGGGATACGTACGCAGTTACAAACGACAACCACTAAATTACAGGCACAAAACAATAAATGGTGGGGTTAATCATGACAGCGGGCACCGAACCCTCCCCTTAACCTGGGACAGTGGTGCAACTGCACAACATAAGACAAAACTATACAAAAAACAATAAACAAAAAACGAATATGAGACACACGAACAAACGACAACCACTCAATTACAGGTTCCTGACATTGGACAGACACATATAGAATGTGACGGTGTTAAACATGTTTGCGGGTGCCATTCCCTCCACTAACCTGGGACAGTGGTGTAACAGCACAATATAAGAACAAGGTATACAAATCGTTTGAAAAAGTGTTTGACTGACTCATCAGATCGATACAAAGCAAAACAAAAAAATAACAAAAAAACACTTAAGACACAAAAAATACCGATCTGAGAGTACTCACGGTTACTGAAAGGTAGTTCCAAGCCAATAACAACTGATAAACAAATAATGCATTGTCTTTTTTAATTCAGATGGTAGTATGCGATTATGGCAGTTTCTCCGTGGTCTGTTGTTAAACCCGGCGTTTAATCCTTCTCATATTATGTGGATCAACCGAAGCGCAGGCGAATTTAAAATTGTGAAGAATAAGGAAATAGCACAGATGTGGGGAGATGAAAAGAATAATTCTGGCATGACTTATGAAAAGATGAGTCGTGCAATGAGGTAAAGTATAGAAGCATGAATAACAGGAAATATGTGGCATATGTCAACGAGACAGAAACCAAACGACACAATAAAAAAGCTCAAACGAAATATGCTCATGTGCAAACAATCTTTTAATTAAGAGGAGTGACTAAATAAAAACTCATCGATGATTCCAGGCCTAATTTTTATGTACGCCACACGCGAATTTCGTCTACATCAGACTAATCAGTAAGACTCGAATCAAAACTGTCGGCTTACACATGTGTATCAATTTTGATATTACATATTTTTTGTAAAGTGATACTTTGGTTTATTGAGTAAAATAGATATTAAATTTATTTTTGCGGCAATAATCTGGTTGCAATTTTTTTCTCTACATGCAAACATGGATTTTGAAATTTCTACATTGATATTATATTCTAGATGACTTGATCGTGACATAGTCTACTTAAAAGTACTAAAGGTGTCAACATCTGATAATCCATTTTGTACTTTCTACTTTTAGATATTATTACAAACATGAAATCCTAGAGCCCGTTTTAAACAGAAGACTTGTATACAAGTTTGGACCAATGTCTCATGGGTGGTGAATATTACTAGCATCAAAGATGGACCAGTGTCTCATGTTTTATGACCATTATCGTGATTAAGATTAGATCATTACTTTTTAAAAGTTGAGCAATACAACTATTTACAAAATAAAAAAAAAAAGACATCTAGATTTTTTTCTATAGAATGTGAAAAAAATAATGTTTTAATAATTAAATAAAAAAAGAGACATTAGAAATAACTGAAGCATTTCAAATTTCAAAACAATCCACAAGAAGCTTTTTGAATTATTTAAAAAAAGAAACACGAGTTAGAAACATCCTTTATAAATCGCCTTTTAAAATTTAACAAATTCTGGTTGAAATTGTTTAAAGCGTGATTAAGACATTCTGATTGGCTAAAAACGTTCTAAACAATGGAAATTCAACCAATGACCGGACGTTATTTTAATTTTAGGGTAAAAACAATGTAATTATCCATTGTCTTATAGATTCTGAAACGGTGAATTAAAATTTCAAAATCCAGAATTGTGTTCATTTACAATTAGTTTATGGTTATTCTTACGCATTAAAATATTAAACGCATTCGTAATAAAATGTGTTCATGGTCATCATAACTTCAAAATAAACTTGTATATATATATATCGATATAGTTATTTGTTTTTATCAAATTGTATAACATTTTAATGTATGTAAAATTGAACTATATTTCATGATGTTACGTTATGACATAATATTTTGCAGCTTTCAACAAAATTGTTGTTTTTTTACATTTGTTATAAAGTGTATATATGTATATAGTTGTTAACTTTAAGTAACTTGTTGTTAATGCTTTTGATAAAAATGAATTAAAACTTCTAAAACATAATAAGAAGAAACGAAATTGTTTTATGCTTTTGTCTGTGCAAAAAAGTCATGAATTCTATAACTCTTAAAAATATGCCTTAATCTTACCAAAAAAGGCACCAATAACATGTTTTAAATGTATGTTGGCGTTTGTTTTTGTTACACTTCAGTGTTCCTGTTGTTCCTTTTTTTTTCATATAGTTGATGTGTTTCCATCGGTTTTAGTTTCTAACCCGGATTTGTTTTCTCTTAATCGATTTATGACTTTTGATCACCGGTATACTACTGTTGCCTTTATTTAAAAGTTCTTGCTCGAAACTATTGAAGGAAAAAAAAGTGTAAATCAATTCAAACAGAGACACAACTCCGTTATAGGTTGATGAATTTTTGACAAATCTTTAAATTATAATTTTTACTTGTTTTTGCGTTACGTCATATAAAATTGAGAATGGAAATGGGGAATGTGTCAAAGAGACAACAACCCGATCATAGAGCAGACAACAGCCGAAGGCCACCAATGGGTCTTCAATGCAGCGAGAAACTGCCGCACCCGAAGGCGTCCTTCAGCTGGCCCCTAAACAAATATGTATACTAGTTCAGTGATTATGGACGTCATACTAAACTTAAAATTATACACAGGAAACTAAAACTAAAAATGATACAAGACTAACAAAGGCCAGAGGCTCCTGACTTAGGACAGGCGCAAAAATGCGGCGGGGTTAAACATGTTTTTTGAGATCTCAACCCTCCCCCTATACCTCTAGCCAATGTAGAAAAAACAAACGCACAACAGTACGTACAGTAAAACACTAGTGCTTTTTTACAAATAATTGGTCAAAAGACTAAGGTATCTTGACATTATTGACCCGGATATGAAATACATAAAGAAGTGACTAAAAATAATAGAACAGCTTTGATAATTGTTACGCCAAAAATCTATATAGTGGATTTTATAAACGTTTTTCCACATAACAAACTTAAGTGATTTAACATGTTTTTTTTTATATAAAACATTTAGACCTATAACTTATAAGGTCTGTATCTGCATAATTACAATGTGCAGAAACCGTTCGGAGTTTTTGACACATTGGAAAGAGAGCAACGGGGCTAAGTGCAACTAGTGTTTCGATGAATAGTTTGGTAAGATTTTGATTAATTGTTTATTTATTAGCTGTTCGACATTGTTTGTACTTATATAGCTCCAATAATTTGGTTTTATGTTGTCTTATTTTTTACTCTGGACTTGTTTGATGTAGTCATGATCAGTAAGTATAAAAACATAGACGAATTAAAAAACATGCTATAACTTTTCCTACAATTTTCGAAGTTAAGGATTTTAAAGAAAGCAAATAGATCATTTCGCATAAACATGTAAAAAGTCATAATCAATTGTTTTTGCAACTGTTGAAACACGACGATTGCCACAAGTGGAACAGGGTCTGCTTACCCTTCCGAAGCACCTGAGATAACCCTCTTTTTTTGTTGGGTTCATGATGCTTTGTCTTTAGTTTTCTGTCTAGTGTTTTGTAAGCTTGTTTGTCTTTTCTTCATTTATAGTTTTTGCCATTATTTTAATCCGTCTCTCTGCGACTTATGAGTTAAAATGTCCCTTTTGTATCTTCCTTCTCTTGTTTAAAAACCGTATTTTATTGTCTGAATTACAAATTTTACAAAACATTTTCTCTTCAAATTCTAACGACGACGTAGGTCAGTATGATGAGACTACAGATTTCAACAAAATTACAAAAGGACTATAGGTGTTACTTTTTATCTTGACAGCAAATCCTTCACTTTGTCATATCTATTGTGCTCTTTATAATCTCGTTGAATAAAGGCTGGAATATACAAGATGTAAACATTTTACTCGTACATTATTATTCATAAGATTTTTCTTTACTTATTATCATTATGCCTTTGATAAACTGTTAAAACATCTGCAGGTTGTAAAGACACAGTGAAGATGAATAATGTATTTGAAATCATTTTGAAAGGTTATCTTCTTTCGGACCGTCACAGTTTTTGGTTTATTTATTTGATTTGAATTTTTTAAATGTTTGTATACAATAAAGTAGCTGAAAAGTATGACCATTGGAAGTATAAAACCCAAAATGAACATGCGTTTAAGAAACATTAAGATGTTTCAATAAGTTTTTTCTAGTTACAGTTTTCTTGACACAGATGATAACAAATGTTTCTTTGACATAAAACAAGAATTGCAAATAAAATTATATAAAACAATTGGAATGTTATTTCTATTTCAGATCAATCTGTGTCTATCAAATACAACTTTCTGGAAGTAAGTCCCGTCACGGACAGGCTGGCGAACTGGGTAGGCAAATAATCAAATTAAATCTGTGCCGATACAGTGTTCCAAATGTCCTCCTTTACACCATAACTCATGGTGGTGCTCCTAATGAAAGCAGGTTTATACGTAGTATACACACATACATACAACGAACATTAATATAAATAAGGAGTTGTGTTTTGTTTTGTAAATGAGAAAACTATCGACAGAACAAATGACAAGAGTATGAGGAATTACAGATCACCGTACAGCCTTCAAAAAGGAAAAAACTATCCATAGACCAAATGACAAGAGTATGAACAATTATAGATCACCGTACAGCTTTCAACAAGGAGCATCACTATCAATAGAACAAATGACAAGAGTATGAACAATTACAGATCACTGTAAGCCTTCAACAAGGAGCAAAACTATCGGTAGAAAAAGTGACAAGAGTATAAACAATTAAAGACCACCATACAGCCTTCAAAAAGGAGCAACACTATCGATTGAAAAAATGACAATAGTATGAACAATCACAGATCACCGTATAGCTTTCAAAAAGGAGCAACACTATCGATAGAACAGATGCCAAGAGTATAAACAATTAAAGACCACCATACAGCCTTCAAAAAGGAGCAACACTATCGATTGAAAAAATGACAATAGTATGAACAATCACAGATCATCGTACAGCTTCAAAAAAGGAGCAACACTATCGATAGAACAGATGCCAAGAGTATGAACTATTACAGATTACCGTACAACCTTTAACAAGGAGCAAGCCTTTCGATAGAACAAATGACAAGAGTATGAACATTTAAACATCACCGTACAGCCTTCAAAAAGGAGCAACACTATCGATAAAACAAATGACAAGAGTATGAACAATTACAGATCACCGTACAGCATTCAACAAGGAGCAACACTATCGATAGAACAAATGACAAGAGTATGAACAATTACAGATCACTGTAAGCCTTCAACTAGGAGCAAAACTATCGATAGAACAAATGACAAGAGTATGAACATTTACAAATCACCGTACAGCCTTCAACAAGGAGCAAAACTATCGATAGAACAAATGACAAGAGTATGAACAATTACAGATAACCGTAAGCCTTCAACTAGGAGCAGAACTATCGATAGAACAAATGACAAGAGTATGAACATTTACAGATCACCGTACAACCTTCAACAAGGAGCAAAACTATCGATATAACAAATGAAAAGAATATGAACACTTACAGTTCACCGTATAGCCTTCAACAAGGAGCAACAATATATCCGGTAGTAAGCTATATATGGCTCCGGCATGAGAGATTGTGAAACAATTCAATAGAGAAAACTAACGGCCTAAATTTTTGCTAAAAGCAACACAATATAATTGTAGTAGACACCTACCAACTGCATCAAGTGGATCACCGGTGGCTCCTATCTTAGAGAAATGCCGTTTAAAAGTGGCTAGACTCATCAGGTCGGTACTCAGAACAACAATATAACGACCTAAAAGTGCTCTCATTTACAGAGAGCTAGTTGGAATCCCAATATCAATTGATAAAAATACCTTCGTTTTCCTCTTCTGTTTTTTTATTTGTCCGATATTTTACTAAATAATAAGAATATTTACGAGTCTACATTGTCTATATACTGGATAACAAAATAACCCTCTCTAGACAAACTATGGCACGTAAAAATGGTATTATGCAATAGCTATGCAGAGCACAAATATAAAACAAGTATCTTAATACGACTTTATGTTGTTAGAATTATCTGACATTTGATAGAAATACATGTTGTAAGAGAGACATTAATTCCAGTAAAAAATGTTAATTCTTAAGATAAAAAACAAAATGGCATCAAGCACTTTTATACAGTCACAAATGATGTGACATTTTAAAACAAACACATATTTATGTTATCTCTATTAATTCTATGTTAACAATAGGGATAAGGATCAGGTCAAAGATTAAATGAGTTATTTTTCCACTTATTAAAAAAGGTATATTCATGAGTTTTTATCAAAATTTAATGTATGTGCATTATAGTCATTTCAACGCTGTCATCGATCCAACATGTTCACTTTCATAGTAAATAGAATAGAAAAGAAATGTTTATACCAGCTTTTCATTCTGTAAATATTTATTTTCCTTTTTGTTTCTTCTTAAATTTCAATTGTAATGACGATGATATCGTTTTTTGGAGATATTCAGTAAGCTCCTTTTAATGTGGTATCATTAGTCGCATGCCTGCATAATATTTAAGGTAACAGTTCATAAATGGGCGATTTGGCGGATTGTCATGAAATTTTTGCAAGCAACTTAACATGTGTAACTGCATATGAATATATTTTGGTCTGAGTTTTCGTGGATTTATGTATTGTTAATAATATTGCAATTAACTTGTGGATGTAGAGCGATGTATATCAGATTGACGAAATGCATGATTCTTTATCAACATTATTGAAAACATGTAGCTAGCTTCCAGCAACTGCAGACAATATTTGACACAGTATTAATTAGTTTTGTATTTCTTGTTTATTGCCGTGTACTGATAAAACAAATTTAATTGCACTACAAGTGAATATACCAAGCCAGGGACTTCCTATCAGGATGTAATTGTTTTTAATTTTACGGATTTTGCCTATGAAGGAATTTGCTGATTAAATATCCCCGTCAATCTGTCCTTTATATTACCTCTTGTCTCAATCATGGCGATTAACAACGTTTTGTATGGTGTTCGTACTTTTCAGA